AGCGCTTCGCTCTCGAGCTCGTCGGCGTTGAGGAACCGTCCGATGCGGTCGCAAGACGCTTTGGCTTCTTGCAGAAACACGATCGCGTTGGAGAAGGCAGTGCACGGTAGTCGCGCTGCGTTCATGTAGGCGAGCGCCAAAAACGCAATCTCTGCCGAGAGCGCGTTGCCTTGGGCGGCGTAAATGAGGAGGCAGAGCGCCAGCGAGAGCACCGGCGTCGAGTAGAGTGCAACCGTGTTGAAGATACGCCGGCCTTGGTACTGCTTGAGAAGCGCGAGCTCGTGCGTGCGAATGGCATCAATGGCCGCCTCGAGGTTGTGCTCCCAGCCGTACATCTTGACGACGCGGACGCCCTGGAGGAGCTCGTTTGTGAGCTTGACGCGTTCGGCTTGCACGGCGAGGAGCCGCGACCGAACGTTCCCGACTGACGCGGCCGAGACGTGGCCGACGTAGAGCATGACAAACATAAAAAGCCCACCGAGAAGTCCGACGAGGTAGCCCATTTCAAAGCCGAGCATGATGAAGATGGCAAGGACGGCGACAGGAGCTGCAAACGTCCATGCGCCGAGGAGGTAGGCCTGGAAGAGGCGCTCCGAGTCGACGCTCGACAAAGTGACAATCTCGCCGGACGAGAGATCGCGCTTGGCCATCGCGGAGAGCCGCAAGCTTTTCCGGTAGACGGCGTCCGTGATGATCGTCTTGGCGTTGCAGCCCAGCGTCGATGAGAGGTACTGGCCAAAGTCAATGACCGTCACCGAGACGAACGAGAGGGCAGTGAGCAGCGCGGCGAGGCCGTACCCGGACTCGAGGCCGAGCGACGTGGGCTTGCCTTGCATGTACTGCAAAAGCGACTTGATCACAATCGGCTGCAGGAGCATCAAGAACGAGTAGAGAAAGTAGAGACTAATCGTAAAGAGGCTGGGACGAGACAGCGTGCGCCACATGGCCTTGTGCACGACCTTTTCGCGGGCCCACTGCAGAGCAAAGCGGTCGCTGAGCGCCGCGGCCGAGTCGGCAGGTGCGAGTGGCCACACGTCGGCTTCGTCCAGCGGTGTGGTCGCGCCGTGCCGGATGAGCTTGTCCATCCACGAGATCAAGAAGATGCCGAGCCAGGACGACGTCTCCATCGGGTGGCGCCGGTCGGCGGCCTCCGCAAGCGGCGCGCGCGGCGACTTGAGCTCCGCGTACTCGGTCGCCATGGCGCAAAAGAAGGTCTGGGAACATCGGCGCCATTGCCGTCGCGTCACCATATGGTCGGAACGAGAGACGCTCACCACTGTGTACAGTGCAGTGGGTAGGGTATCACAACGTGATCATGAAACTGAAACTGAAACTGAAACGGAATTGCACCGTTACGACACCGCAATCGGTGCCGTGGAGCTCAAAAAGATGCGATCTGTGCGCTGAGGACTCTGTGGCCAACGTCGCTGGAGAAAGGAAGGTAGAGGCGTCTGTGGTTCAGAAAAGCATGTTAGTTCTCGACGGGGTTGGTGGGACCAGGTGAAACTGATCCGTCGGTTACGTGGAGTACACTCCCGCGTAAACATGCCCAGCCAGCTCGTGCCGCCACGCGCCCCCATGGCGTCAGTTCAACCTCGTTGGAGATTCTCCGACGGGGCAGACGTCTCTAGCACGGTTCCTCGTCTTCTTTGCGTGCACAAGTGCAAATATTTTCTCCGCATCTATCTCGAAAACCGTTAGGGAATCTTATTGGCAGCTCAGCCCCATAGCTTGGAGCGGTTGGTTTCTGCGGCCGTGAGGATCTTGTTGTACGTCGCTTGGAGCACAGCGTCTTTCGGAGGGTAAATGAGCTCATACACGTTGGTAAACTCGACCGACTCGACTTGGGAGGTGTCCGCATCGTCTTGGTTGTTGCCAATCGAAGGGTGCACGCGGTTGGAGGACTTCCACGGTCGCTTGGCAGAAGACCGTGTCTCGTCACGCTCAACTTCGTCGTCGTCTTCCGCCTCGTCCGCTTCGTCCACCTCGTCGTTGTTCTCGACGTCCTCACCGGTGGCCGCGTCGTCGACCTCGGGCACACTTTCGGGCGCAACACTGGTCTCGGATGTGGTCTCGGGTTTGGTCTCGGCCGCAGCTTTGGTCGGCAGCGCTGCATTCCAGAGACGCTCCTTCCAAGCTCGTCGGTTGCGCTACGCCATGCTCGTGAAAGGAGCAACCACTGAACTCGTACCGCCAAGAAGATCCGCTTGCGCTTATTGGTGACGTTGATCAGGTCCAGCGCTTGCTCGATGAGCGGCGTCTTGATCTCGCGGTCCAACTTGGCCTCGCCTACCGCCATGTCATGTCGCAATCTCCCTTGGTAGAAACCTGCAAAGCTCGGTGCGTGATTGACTTCAAAGAGCCACGATTTCCCCTAGAGAAGTACGTCGCCCTCGTGTTCGGACAAGTTGTCTGCTAACCTTGTCGTCGAGCATAATATCAAACCCGAGGATCTCGAACGCCGCGGGCCCCCACTCGGTCCGACCTTTGGCGGCATCGGCACCAAAGAAGTTGCGGTAGCTGGCTTGCAAGCGCGGTTGGATCGCCAGGAGCGTCTTGAGAATGATGTCGCACATCTCGGCCCAGACGGCACTCGGATCGAGGCCGTGGCGCGCGATATACGCCATCACAAACGCCAGGCTCCGCTTGCTGCCCTTGGTTTCATCCGCCGATTTCACAAACTCCTTGGCCTTCTTGTTGATGGCGTAGCTACATAGTTGTCACCATCTTCGTCTAGACCAAAAGGAGACACAACGGACTTGGTCAAATGCATGCGTGTGGCGCTCAAATTCGCTTTGGTCGGCCGTTCGAACGGCGTCGTACAAAACCGAGCGAGGCCGTTGCGGAAGATGTGGACGCGAAGCGGGTCGACGCTCGTGACGAGTACGTAGATGCGCAAGTCAAACTTGAAGCCGTCAATGAGCAGTGGATTGGCCACGTAACGCTGGGCGACACAGGGTTCGGTGACGGGGATTTTTGCAAAACTCTGGACGAGTTTGATGCCTTTGCCTTGGCACAGCGTGCGCGGCTACACATATGTCCAGTCGTACATTGCACGGTAGACACGATGTACCTTGATGATGTACGTGGCGCCCCGCGCGTCGTGCTCCATGGCCTGTTGGAGGTCGATGCGATCGGCAGGCAGCAGAAACGAGCGCGGGTAGTAGTCGTAGGCGTCGGGCAGAGCCTTGCGCATGGCATTTCTATAACAGCGATGCATAGTAGTGTCACGTTGCCAACGCTGAAAATGGTGTACAAGTGCGTTGCCAGGAAATCCTTGCGGCAAATGTCCTCCATAGACGGAAAGTGGTTGACCTTCTGGAACGCGTGGAGGCGCCGGGCGTCTTTGAGGAGCTCGCCGCGGTCCGACCACCAAATGTCCCACGCAGCATTCGCGTTCTTCTCCCGCACAAGTCGAAAGTCTTCGAGAAGCACGTACACACGAGGATATAGGAATGTGCGCGTACCACGGGCTTTGAGGCAGCGCTTGATGATGGCGTACCGGCAGAGCGAGACGTCGACGACGACCTTGCGCCGCGACTTGATCGGCCCTGCTGGCTCGCGGGACGTCTTCTTGCGCAGCATCAACTAGTAGTCGACTATATTTGGCTACCAGCGTTTCAAAGGCGTTGTGGGCGAAAGAGAGCGAATATTTTCTGGATCGTTTGTCAGGATATGGTTTCGAATGCAAAATCGACTATAGTCGATGCTGGTTGAGTTGGTGGCCCCATACACGGATGGATGCACTAGGAGAAGCGCAATGACAGCAATTGCTTGCCGAGAGGCGGCCGCCGTTCGAAGGTCGACGAGCAAAGACCGGGCGGCCTTCTCTAAAGGCGTTGCTGTCATACATTTTCCTTGGTGATCCCACGGCCCAACGGGCTGTATGAACACAGCCACTGCGATGGAAAGAATGTGCTGCGGTGGAATAGCACCGCTGGACAACACGTATATATGAACACGCTATAGAGAGGACGCTCTTTACACCCCTTGCCCACCCAGCTCCAAAAATTGTTGTCGGTCTTTTGATGCTTTACCGTGAAGAAGCATTTCTACATGGTTTGGTGCGTGTGCCACAGCACGGAGAGGCCCCAAAACGTGTCGCGACATCCCTGTCATGTTGACGCCGACAGCCAAAGACCAACATTTTTATTTCGCCCAACAGATGTTGCGCCTAAACCAAGCCGCTGGCATCTTGGTCGCTTTCGATTTCTCTGGCGAGTTGGTGCAGCATATTAGTTGAAGTGAAATGCATGCTACGTAGTTCTTTCATCAAGTACATACGTTAATGTTAGCACTACGATAGCGCTAAGAAATGAGATGAGCGCTACTAGCACCAACCTTGATTGATGAACCTCCAACCGCGGCGAGCGAAGATTGAGGGTAAGGCAAAAACGCTGCAGGCCACGTAGACTGTAGGGCAACCATGTCTCGGGAGCATCAACACGCGACCCTTCCGGAAGGATCGGTGCCGCACCCTGATTGGTTTACGCTGCGACAGAGTATACAATGATTAGTTAATCGCCGCGGCTCCGTGGATGGTTCCTCAGTTTGCATTTTGCTTTGACCATGGACGCCCTCCTCACGCCGGCGACGTATGGCGCGATCGCGCTCAGTGCAATGTGCTACGCTTTCTTTGCGCGCGCCAACCAAGCGCCGTCGCTCTACCACCAAACGAACCTCGTCAATACGCAGCTCCTGCAAAAGACCTCGATGCTTTGTACGCCGCTTCCTCCAAGTACGGTGACTGACATGACCATTCTTCTAGGGGAGAAGTACCGGCCGTCGTGGTTCCTCCTCAACGGGTAGACACATCGTCCAAACTCCACTCGGCTTGACGGACGACGGCGTAGGCACCTGCAAACCTTCCTCGTCGCGCTGGGCTGCGACACCCCGCGGGTGCACTACACGCGTGAAATTCGACCTCTCTCGGACGGCGGCATCGTGTCGCTCGACTGGGCGACGCACCCTGCCGGCACGCCATACGCCAAGGACCACCCGACTGTGGTACAAAATTGTCCTCGATAATTTAGGACGGGACTGAGCACGACAGTAGCTTCTCTTGCACGGGCTGACGGGCGGCAGCAGCGAGGTGCGTCGTGATCACTGTGTTGGGTCGACGACGTGACGTACTTGTACGTGCAGGTGTACATTCGCGCGACCGCCGTCAAGCTCCTCGCGGCGGGCTGGCGCGTCGTCGTCATGAACGCGCGGGGCTGTGCGCAGACCCCCGTGCGCACGCCCAAGGTATTAACTCTACTACGTCCGTTTTGCGAGGTTTTATTCTGATTTCTAGCTCTTTTGCGGCGCATATACGCAGGATGTGCGCGAGACGGTGCAGTATTTACGCCAAGTGCACGTGCCGACGGCGCCGCTGCTCGCCGGTGGTTTCTCACTCGGCGCCAACATTCTGCTCAAATTTGTGGGCGAAGAAGGCGACAAGTGCCAGCTCTCGGGCGCCATCTCGGTCGGCAACCCATACGACATGCTGGCCTCGAACCGCAACCTCGAGTACTCGTGGCTGCACAACGTCATTTACAGCACGGCACTCACCAACAACCTCCTTAACCTCTTCTTCAAAAAGGTATACGCCCTCCAAAATGGACAAGTTGTCATCCACAGACTGACTAGTCGAACGCCCACGAACACTACGTGAACGACCCGACGATTGACCTCGCGGCGCTCCGGGCCTCGAAAACGGCGGCCGAGTTTGACGAGCAGCTCACCCGGCGCGTCTTTGGGTACATATTTGTCCTTTTTCTCGTAGACTGAAGGAGTTATTATGGGACCTGTTAGGTACGCGACCGCGAGTGACTACTACCGCGATGCCTCGAGCAGTCAGTGTACGATTTGTTATTAGGTACTAGTACGTGGTATTGATCGGCCGCGTAGACATCAAGGGCGTGCGCATCCCGACCTTGTGCTTGACCGCCAAGGACGACCCGATCTCGATCTACACGGCGATCCCATACGACGACGTTCTCGCCAACCCGCATGTGATCTTGTCGGTGACCAAATACGGTGGGCACCTGGGGTTCTTTACAGGTGCGAGCCCCTTCGCGTACCCGGACATGTGGTCGTCGTCGGTCTTTGCCCAGTTTTGCAATGCTGTCGACGAGCTTGAGCATAATGGGTCCCCCTCCAAGGCGCGTGTCGCTCTGCAAGAAACCAGTTAAAATAACAAAGCCTCACTCTCCGTTACATATGT